TGAGTGGTCTTTCACAGAAACAAAGATCTGAGTATCACATGTTCTCACTCATAAGTGAACTTTGAACAACTACCGTAATACTATAAGAAAAGGATTGACAGTGGTGGGAAACTACGGGGTGGGGTGGGATTAATGGTAGTCAATATCTGCCTGGAAGGGGGGGCATACCTCATCAACAAGAGTACCTGCACAAGGAATATTTTTATACCTAACCCTTAGTTGTATCCCACAATTTTAAAATAATAAAAAATTAAAAAAAGAAAAAAACTACATCTGTCCTGAACATGTATTTTTTCTTGTTATTATTCCATAAACAAGATAGTAATTATTTGCATAGCATTTACATTGTATTAGATGGTATAAGAAATCTAGAGATGATTTAAGGTATAGGGAGGATGTGTGTAGGTTATATGCAAATATCACCCCGTTTTATATCAGGAACTTGAGAACCCCCAGATTTGGATGTCTGTAGGAGGTCCTGAAACCAGTCCTCCATGAATATAAGGAGAGACCGTGTGTGTAAAACATTTAGAATGGTGCCTGGCACATACTAAGTGCTGCAGCGATGCTGTCTATTAATATCATTATGTCCTCAGGATTTAGACATAGTACGTAATGGATGATTATCATGGCTTGAAGTTGCAAGTGAAGGTTCTAAAAACAAACTAGACACCAGAGCAGGGGTCCTGGAAATGAGAACTGTGGAACAAAGCGGGCATTTGGTTCCAAGGAGCAGGAAAGGATCCTACCTCTTAAACTGGATCATAAGGTAACCTCAAGTCACCTGTGGCCAGGCAGAGTCATCCGCCAGACTTGTCCCTGACACTAGCAGAAGAGGCTTAACAACAGAGTAAGAAGGCTAAATAACCCTCACCATGGGGAAAAATTAAGAAGTGGAAAGCCAAGCAGGGTATTGGAGATGGGCAGTCATGTCTGACTGACAAAGGGCTTGAAAACAGGTCCTAGTTAAGAAGATCCAGCCATATTACGAAGCTGAAATCATTATTTCTAAATACATTTCTTCAAGACAAGATGGAAAACTTAATACTATCTGGAAGTGTAAGAAACTAATTTTCAGCCGGGCTCGGTGGCTCAGCCTGTCATCCCAGCCTTTGGGAGGCTGAGGTGAGTGGATTGCCTGAGCTCGCGGGTTCGAGACCCGCCTGGGCAGCGAGACCTCATCTCTACAATAAATCAAAAAATAAGCTGGGTGTGGTAGCGCATGCCTGTAATTCCGGCTACTTGGAAGGCTGAGGTGGAAGGATCGCCGGAGCCCAGCAGGTCGAGGCTGCGTGGCCGGGAGCGGCCACTGCACTCCAGTCTGGGCGGCAGAGTGAGACTCCAACTCAAACAAACAAACAAAAAAAGAAACTAATTTTCCTTGGCTGGGCATGATGGTTCAGGCCTATAATCCTAGCACTTTGGGAGGCTGAGGTGAGAGGATTGTCTGAGCCCAGGGGTCCTAGACTAGCCTGGGCTACTTGACAAGGCTTCGTCTCTACAATAAATCAAAAAATTAGCTGGGTGTGGTGGCATGCACCTGAGGTTCCAACTACTTGGAGGGCTGAGGTAGAAGGATTGCCTGAGCCCAGCAGGTTGTGGCTGCAGTAGCCATGATCAATGATCATGCCACTGCTCTCCAGCCCAGGTGACAGAGAGAGACTTTGACTCAAAAAAAAAAAAAAAGAAAAGAAAAGAAAAGAAACTAATTTTCCACTTGGATTTTGAATATGTCGAAAGATTTATTTATTTATTCCTTGGATTTTTAGTAGGTCCTGAAAGATTTATTTTCATTTGTTCTTCATTCTTCTTTAATGTGAAACTTAAAAGCATCGTTTCATTGCTCATTTTTTTTTTTTTTTTGAGTTGGAGTCTCACTCCATTGCCCAGACTGGAGTGCAGTGGCCACTCCCGGCCACCACAGCCTCGACCTGCTGGGCTCCGGCAATCCTTCCTCCTCAGCCTTCCAAGTAGGTGGAACTACAGGCGTGTGCTACCACGCCTGGCTGATTTTTTGATTTATTGTCAAGATGAGGTCTCGCCAAGTTGCCCAGACGGGTCTCGAACCCGTGGGCTCAGGCAATCCACTCACCTCAGCCTCCCAAGGCACGGAATTACAGGCTGAGCCACCGAGCTCACCTCATTGCTCATTTTTAAAGATGAAGGTACACTTTGCATACAGTAAGATCACTTTTTTCAGTGTACAGTGCTGAAAATTTTGACAAACATATAGTCATGTAACCACTACCACAACCAAATATACAAAATTCCCTTATGCCCACTTACAGTCAATCCTTCCTTCCATCTTCAGCTCCTAACAACAACTGATCTTTCTTTCTGTCCTTACAGTTTTACTCTTTCCAAAATGTCAGACAAATTAAATCATAAAATACACAGTCTTTGTGTCTGTCTTCTTACACTTAGCATACATATGCGGGGAACCCCAAAAAACCCCAGAATGTATTTACAAAATATTGTATATTTACTCTCACATGTTTAAACTTCAGTCACCTTCAAAGTACTGTCCATTTGATGCAACACACCTATCAAGACACTTTTTCCACGGCTCAAAAGTTTCTGAACGCCTCAGTTTGGATGCCTTTCAAAATTTTTGTTTGTTTGTTTGTTTTTTGTTTTTTTTTGTTCTTGTTTTTTGAGTTGGAGTCTCACTCTGTCGCCCAGACTGAAGTGCAGTGGCCGCTCCCGGCCACAGCAGCCTCGACCTGCTGGGCTCCGGCGATCCTTCTGCCTCAGCCTTCCCAGTAGCCGGAATTACAGGCGCACGTTACCACATCCGGCTGATTTTTTGATTTATGGTAGAGATGAGGTCTCGCTGCCCAGGTGGGTCTCGAACCACGGGCTCAGGCGATCCATCTCTTTCACATCAGCACAATGTTTCCTTTTGAGGACTCTTTTCATCCCAGGGAAACAAACAAAAAAGTCCCTCGGGTGAGAGCGGGTGAATAGGGAGGGTGGGGCACGGGAATCTTGCCACTTGTCATTCAGTGACTTCCCAGTGGCCATCGAGGAAGCTGCCTTCTTCTGAGACACCGCTGTCATGGCTTTTCCACATGCGCTCCTGGATACAGTCAGGCCCTGACCGTGCTATGCTTCCCCAAGGCCGTGTTGCTGTTTATGACATTTGCCACCTAGGATGCTCATCTTTTATTACTGAATTCTTTTGTGTGTGTGTCTGTGTGTGTGTGTGTGTGTGTGTGTGAGTTGGAGTCTCTGTCGCCCAGGCTGGAGTGCAGTGGCACACTCACAGCCATCCCAGCGTCAACCTGCGGGGCTTAGGCGATCCTTCCGCCTCTGTTTTCCAAGTAACTAGAACTACAGGCATGCTACCATACCCGGCTAATTTTTAATTTATTGTAGTGATGAGGTCTTGACAAATTGCCAAGGCTGGTCTCGAACCCATGGGCTCAGGCAATCTCTCACCTCAGCCTCCCAAAGTGCTGGGATTACAGGTTTGAGCCCACTGTGCCAGGCCACTGAAGTCGTATGCAAACTCCACCATCAAAATCTTTCCGTTCTTCAAGACTCCCTTCTGCTTTCCAGAAAAGACAATGAAAGGAGTCACAGAAGAGGCCAGCGTAGGAGATAAGCATGACTCCTTGCTCTCTGTGCTACCCTGCCCAGATGCCATATGTCACGTGGAAGGAGAAGCTAAGTAGGGGCCCAAAGCTCTGCTTAGGAGAGCAGGTCTTTCCCCCCTTATTTTCTAAAAGGCAAATACTCCCTGAAATAACTAGAAGTGATTGCAAGGAGTAAAATGAATTCTCATTACTTTAAACTGTCTGGGGGGCACAAAATCTTTTCCATTTATGCAAGTTGGGTCAGTTCTTGGTGCTACTCAAGACTTCTTTCTGCCTCCAAGTTTTTTGTTTTGTTTGTAACATCTGAATATGAATATATGACTTGGCTTTGGCAAGGCAGAGAAAACGAATAGAAAAGTGTCCTTTTATAACACAAGTATGGACTTCCTATCAAAGAAATCGTGTACACGGGATGGGATTTTTTCCCTATCCCAACAGCTTGGAGTCTGCCTAGACGCAGAGAGGCATCTCCGCTGGGGCGCCCTGGGCGCTGACGGCAGCGCCACATGCTACGTGTCCGCTCTCTTCCATTTCTGGACGAGCTGATGCAATTCCAAGCGCGGGGCCGGGCCAGAGCTCGGTTCTTGCTACGGTTTAACCATGTTCCCGCGTGGCAGCCTCTGCAGCGCCTCGTCAGCCTAGAAATCTTGCCGTCCGCAGCTGGGCTCAGGAACACCGAGCTTGCAGCCGTCAGCTTTGCATGCCATCAACTGCGCGGGCCCGAGTGCCAGTCCCGAGCTCACACCGCTCAGGCTGCCAACGAGAACCCGCTGACTCGATACCACCCCCCTCCAAGGGGACCGTTTCGGCCCTCGACGGCTCCATCTCTTGACCCAGGATCTCACGATGGAAATGCAAAAGGGAAGGAAGCAGACTCCGTCCCCCTTGTCATCCCAGCCAGACCCGACACGTTCAGACGCTGCACCCGCAGCCCCTTCCCCGTAGAAGACAATGGCTTGCTTTGACAGCTCCCATCCTGGACTCTCCCCGGGCCTTCCTCCGAAGGAGTCACCCAGTTTTGAGACGCCGTCTTGGCTCTAA